AACAACATAATATTCCCCTTTTTTCAACTATCTTTCTACCCAAAATGAATTGTAATGAGATTAAAATTTCTAAAATCAATGGGTATGAAAATGGAACAGAGCTAAGAAGAGGGCCATGGACCCTTGAAGAGGACAATCTTCTCATTCAGTACATAACTTGCCATGGTGAAGGCAAATGGAACACTCTTGCCAAATTTGCAGGTCTTTTTTCCTTTTTTTCTTATTTTTCACACACACACACACACCAAAAAATAAATACAAATAACCAACAGAGGTTGGCTCAAGTGGTAAGCAGATTGATGTCGCTTAAGCAAGGTCTCGGGTTCGAGTCCTTGTTGACGCAGAAAACCCTTGTTGGGAGACTCACCCACCACTGTCAGGTGTGCGACCCGAGTCAACCAACGGATTAGTCGGGGCATAGCTCCATCGTGGCTGTCTACAAAAAAATAATAATAATAATAATCATAATAATAATAATAATAATTATAACACTGATTTAGTAGTATTTTTAGGTTTTAATTTGTTTGTCTGAAACAGGGCTGAACAGAACAGGGAAAAGTTGTAGGCTGAGGTGGCTGAATTATTTGAAGCCCGACATCAAACGTGGCAATTTAACTCCTCATGAGCAACTCTTGATTCTTGAACTCCATTCAAAATTGGGAAACAGGTGATCTACTACTACTGTTACTAATAATAATAATAATAATAATAATAATAATAATAATAATAATAATAATAATAATAATAATAATAATAATAATAATAATAATAACAACCGTTCGAATTTGCAGGTGGTCTAAGATTGCGCAGCACTTACCAGGGCGGACGGACAACGAAATAAAGAACTACTGGAGAACACGCGTGCAGAAACAGGCACGACAGCTGAAAATCGACTCCAACAGCAAGAAGTTTCTAGAAGCTATAAAGAACTACTGGATGCCAAGGCTGCTCGAAAAGATCGAACAAAATTCATCCCTCTCCGCATCATCCTCGTCCTCAATCGATACAAGTACAACAACCAGTTTTACGGCCCCTTCAATAGACTTACCCCCAAAACCGAAACCGGCGGGCAACAATAGTAACTCATCCATGAGAATACCGGAGATTTTAACCCCAAGGGCCTACGGTAAAATATTCCATGCATGCTCACATGAGTACTGTTACCACGTGGACATGCCAAGCTCTCATGACATGGCAGGGCTGGTCGGTGATTCGGCAAGTGATTGCCACGTGGCGGAGATGGATTGGTTCCAGGAGGACTTCGGGGGCTCTTTTTGGGACACGGATGATGAGTTGTGGCAATTAAGGAAGTTGGAAGATGATTTTGTGGTGTAGACTGTGTAGAGTGGATGTGTACTGTACAAATCAAGAATGACGAAACTGCCCCCCAGATGTTTACCACAAATAATTACTTTTGAAAATTATAAATATCCTGTTGGAAAAAAAAAGAGATATTTGTAATTTTCAAGAATAATACTACTTTTTTTTTTTTTGTTTTGGTTTACTTAGGCTATACTTAAGGGTGTTTCTTGTAATTAGCCGTAAAAAATTAAGGTGTAGTAGCCATTGTAGGTATCTATCTATCTAATTTTTATTATTAGGATGTAATTAATAATGGTTTTTCATTAGAGATTTTGTTATGGTTGGTCACTATATGGAGAACTTGTGTAAGTGTCAACTCATCAATCATATCCAACTGAGTACACAGAATTAATTTCAATTGGTATGGAGTCCCATGTTTTTCGCGTTACCAATGTTTAAATTAATCATCAAGTTGGCCCTATATGTATTAACCCGAATATCCCGTCTTACTAAATACCGTCCACCTTTACTACTTCTCCCACCTCTTAAAGACCATTTTGTTATCCTCCTTTTTTTTTTTTTAAAAAAAAAAAGAATGTTTTGTAGATAATTTTAAACTTTTATTTCGTCTGTGACGCCGGTCGGCTGTCCAAACCGGCCGATTATGGAGTGGTCGGCTGCTGATCGGGACCGACTCTCACCCAGCCGGCCCAAGGGTTGCTGCCGCTCCCTAGCACTACAAAAAAATATTATATTTCAACGGAAAATATTACGATAATATATTCTAATAGAAATTCCAACGGATATTCCAATGGTATAGCTTCCGTTGGAATGGTTCCAACGAAAATTCCAGAGGCAATATTCTGTTGGAATGTGTTTTTCATTGAAATTTTAGATGAAATTTGATGATTCCAACGGCTATATTTCCAACGACTTTTTAAGTAGGAATTTCCGTTGCAATATGCAAATCCCGTTTGAATTTTTATTTCCACCCCCGTTAGAAAATCCACCGTTGAAATCGTCAAAATCCAATAGAAATTCTAATGGAAAACCTTTTCCAACGAAATACTTTTGTTGGAATTTCCATTTGAATCCATTGAAAAATTCTAACGAAATAATAGTATTGAATTATCCGTTGGAATTGCCGTTGGAATAATTCTTTTGGAGAGATTTTTGTTGGAATTTCATCATTTTCTTGTAGTGTAGGTTGCCGCCGTAGTCGGACGGCCAGAACCAAGGCCGCCTTCTTCAATGGCCGATCGACTTTTTTTAAAAAAAAAAATAGTAGTAATAGTTTAAGTATTTTAAAATTATAATTGGATTTAATTTCTTTGATTTAGGTAGTTTTTATTAAATATGTTACTCATTAATAAATATGTTAGTTATAAATAATATATCATACATATTAGTGAAAATATAATTACTAATCTTATATAAGTTGAAAAAATTAATATTTTTTAATCAACTAGTTTTTATTATTATATAATCAAAAAGGTGCAATTATATTAATCATGTTTTTACAAATAATTACTAAATTGACTTTTAATACTTTTTAAGAAAATAATTACTTGTAATATTTAATAATGTATTTTAGAAAATAATAATATTAATTTTAATTAATTTGCATAAATATTATTAATAATAATTGTAATTATTTTATTATAAATAATAAAATATTTGAATTTTAGTTTACTAATTATTAGTCAAAATTGTTGATTTAGTGCGGGTACAGTCTATCGGACGAGCACGAGGTCCCTATGCGCGCCAATACCGATTATGTAAGTCGATCACTGAATTTTAGTTAATGTTCTTTCATTACAATATTTTTTCATATATATGTGCTCATATATTTTAATTCTTATATTTTTGTGTAGTGGCTTCGCCGCCTATTTGATGCCTCGTCAGACATACAACTAGAATTCACGAGGTTAATCCTGAATTGACGGTGCCTTTTGTAAATAAATTTGCTCAAATTAAGTTGGATTGGGACAGAGCGGCTGACTGATGTAATGAATTGACGGCTCCTTTTGTAGCCGAATTCTGTCGGCCGACTTCCTCACAGGACGCCAAATTCCCCAACGGCCCCTTCGCCCGAGAGTCCGATGTCTTCCTCGGCATGGACTCCGACAAATTTCATTAACTTTTAACAATATAAAAAATAATATTTGTAATTATTGTCTACCAACAAAAATATACATTAAATAATATAGCGATTTATAATTATATATAAAATAATAGTTTTTCTAGAAATAAAAAATTATTTCTCATACTAATTAAATTCTAATAATATATAAAATAATTTTACAATATAATCAATTGTAATTTATAATATAATAATTTTAAGTTCCAACATAATAATAATAATAATAAATTTTATAAGATAATCAATTCAAATTTATAACATAATAATTTCTAAGTTCCAACATAATAATAAATTTTAATTTATAACACAATAATTTCTAAATTCTAACATAATTTCTATAATAAAGAAAAATTTGAACCTATGTGCACCGTAATGACGTTCCATCTCGAAACTAAATGGTGATGAGAGTAGTATTTCACTGGACTTATAAACTAGACTCATTTTTCTATAAAATTAATGTGGGACAAGTCATAAGTGATATTCCAGCAATATTCAACACCAACTATGTTGCGCCTTAGATTTACGAACCATATTTGTGCTACTTTTCGATTTTTTTTTTTTTTTTTATCACGATAAGCCATGAGATGTTTAGTTGCATTCTTAGACATATATTATGATGAATTATATTTGCCAAATAACTACTAATTTGTCTTTAAGAAAAAACATATTTGTGTATCGAAAATTTGGTGATGATTAATGTTGAGTGGTCAATTATTGATGAGTGTTTTGATACATATATTAGATCAATTAAACTTGAGGCTTAATATATATAATATATTAAAGTGAAGTAGCTGGAAAATTGCCGTTTTCCCACCCATTTCACATTATTATTTTTAATTAACCTATGCATATTACTTTAATTCTACACATTTGTTATTTCTAATTATCCTAGGCAAGTCACTTTAATTCTACACATAAATTGTATCTAATTATTGGATATTGTTATTTTTAATTAATGGTAAACAAAGTTTGTTCTTAAATTGAGAAAATGACAATTTGTGTAATGAAATGTGATTACCTATGCAAACTAATTTTATTCTTCATAATATTGACAAACACACAACTATGGATCATGTGTTTTTCTTTTACATTAACTAACGCAAAAGCAAAACATATTTAATAAATTTCAAGTAAGATTTATATGAATTTTTATCATATGTTGCCCCAAAATTTGAGTAAAAAAGTCAAAACTCAAATTCATGGGAATTTTAATGCTAATAAGACAATAATTGAAATATGAGAAAACCACAACCAACAAACATATTTTTTAATATACAATGAATAGACTAGAAAGAATTCAGTTTTATTGACTTTAAAATTTATCTGGAATTAAAAATAATAAATATGCATAAAAAGTATAAAATAAAAAAAAAAAATTGTATACAAGTGACTGAAGCTAACTCTTAGCAATAAAAAAAAATAAAAAAAAAAATAAATAAAAATTGTGAGTTCTAATTAATAATTATCCTTGGGGGAATGTTGAATATCTTGGATTTTGTTTATGCTAATTTCTACATATCTTATTGCAACTAATCTATATATATATATATATATATATATATATATATATATATATATATATATATAATTGTAGGCTATTCATTATTACAAAAGTAAAATTTTCCCGCCCAATTTTTTTAGTTTTTTTTTAGTAAGTTTTAATTTTCTTTTGTTTTTGTTTATGGTTATATCATTAAATTTGTAATAAATACTATAATATTCATAAAATTGTAACGGTTATGTTTTAAAAATAAACTTAAGCATGTGATTTGTTATTTTGATAAATAAGTAATATTATATATTGGTATAATCGTACAATATGACTATTATGTATCTTTTATTTGGTTAAAAAATAAATTTAATTTTAGACTTCATATTATTCATACTTGATTTTAATCATCTTGGATAGTACAATCGAGTTTCAAGATAACTATTCAGAAGTAATATAAATTTCAAATTTGTCTTATTAAATAAATTATAAAAACAAGTCGTAATCCTATTAATTATTTTGCATTTTCCTATTTAAAGGGATTCCTTTATTATTTCTATGCGATTCTATATCTTAAAAAAATTAATTTAAATTTTCAGCTTAGCAATGTAGATTTTATATTAACTTTTATCAGTTATTTTACTTTTTTTTAGTTTTTATTTTAAAATAAATTTTTAAGTGTTGATATGGACACAAATTCTACAAAGTAGTATATTAATGAATGCAATGGTTTTCTAATTGTGTTGTCATCTAAGTGCTAAAAAACTTTGTGTCTTACAAGTTAGTTGAGATATTTTATAATGACCAAATTTATTGTAATAAAAGTACTAACGTATATGTATCAAAATTATAAGTGAAAATTTATTAGATGAAATAATCCAAATTGTACATGTAATTAATTTTATTATTAATACAATTAAAACCATAAATATCTTAAAAAGATTAGCATTTACTATAAAATAAATTTATTGTCCATTTGAAATTTATATTATTATTTTTACTTTGTGATACTTTTATGATTAGTATCATTATGATACTCAAAGTATATATAAAATTATATTATTTATTATATTCATATAATAATGAGCATATGATAAATTCCTCGTGATACCTTTTTATTGAAATCTAAAATTTCAGCTAAGAGTAAGTAATATAACAATGAAATTATAATTATGATAAACATTATTAATTTAATTTTTATTTTAATTGTTATTTTTAAATAAAATAATTACATTATTGTATATGTAAATTGCGCATGTGCACCGGATAACAACTAGTATTTAGAAAAACAAACTGCCAATTACTAAAGTTTATAATTAATGTCAACTTTTCTATTAATTATCCTCAACAGACCCTTCACTAGATTTATTAAATTCATGCATTTTGGCATTTTCTTATGTA